GTGTATATCGTTTAAAGATCTAGTCGATGAAGCATGTGCAAGTATTCGTGTACAATTAGATAGTCAACCTGAAATAATTGATCAATTAGAACGTCGTGAATTACAGTTAGATGTTGAAGCAACGGCATTATCTCAAGAAAAAGATGATGCATCAAAACAACGTTTAAAACAAGTTAAAGAAGAATTAGCAAAAATACGAGAAGAATTGAAACCATTAAAATTACGACATAAAGCTGAAAAAGAGCGTGTTGATGAACTGAGAAAATTAAAGCAAAAATTAGAAAATCTTCAAGTTAAAATGGCTCAAGCTGAACGAGAAAAAAATTTACCTTTAGTCGCCGATATGAAATATGGAGCTATTCCAGATCTTGAGAAAAAAATAGTTGAAACAGAACATCGAATTACCGAAGAAAATAACCAACAACAAGATCGATTATTAACTGAAGTTGTTGGACCAAATGCTATTGCTGAAATAGGTTTGCATTTTCAATTTCTCTCATAAACTACTTTAGATAATTAGTAAAATACACTAAAAAGTTGGATGAATTAAGTTTCTTTTGCTTTATTATATTATAGTTCATAGTAAAACAATTTAATTGTAAAATTTACAAACCTATTAGAAGTTTTTTTATGGATTAATGTCGATTCTGCGTTGAGGAACTTGAATATTGTCTCTATGAAATAAAAAAAAGAAACTCTGATGCTCGATTTAGTTTTATCATAGAAGATATTACATCTCAACCGATGAAAACAATGAGTAGAAATCATTTTCCAAAAAATTGTTTTATATGCAGTCTTCTCAGTTTTTATTGTAATAAAATGAAAGGTTTATTCTATTTATTTATTTTTGTATAGTTAGCCGATGGACGGGCATTCCAGTATCAAAATTATCGCAAACCGAACGTGAACGTTTGTTAAAATTAAGTGATCATCTACATGAAAAAGTCATTGGACAAGACGATGCAGTTGATAGCGTTGCTGAAGCTGTTCTTAGAAGTCGAGCTGGACTTTCAAGACAAAATCAACCAATTGGATCATTTTTATTTTTGGGTTAGTTTATTAAAAGGACAAACTAAGAAAACTTAATATTCTGTATATTTTTTTGCATAGGTCCAACAGGTGTTGGCAAAACTGAATTAGCAAAAACATTAGCTTTAGAATTATTTGATTCAATTAAATCGATGATTCGTATTGATATGAGTGAATATACAGAATCTCATTCAATTGCACGATTAATTGGTGCACCACCAGGTAAAATTAATTCTTCAATTTTTCTTTTATTTATGTTAAGAATTTATTTCATAGGTTATGTTGGTTTCGAACAAGGTGGTCAATTAACAGAAGCTATTCGACGACAACCTTATGCTGTCATTTTATTTGATGAAGTTGAAAAGGCACATCCACAAATTTGGAACACATTATTACAAGTTCTAGATGATGGTCGTCTTACTGTAAGTTATCTATTATTTTGAATTGATTTTCTCTATTGGATCATTTTTTAGGATGGAAAAGGTCGAACAGTTGACTTCACAAATACAATTATTGTATTAACTTCAAATATCGGTGCACAATATATTTTAGAAGAAGTTGAAAATCCATCGTCGACAGGAAAACAATTCGATGGAAAATTATCTCAAATAATAAAAGATAGCGTCATGAAAGAAGTTTGTATTTTTTCCGGAGATCACACTAGATCAAATAATGAAATTTGCTTTTTTTCATTCAAAAGGTTCGTCTACACTTTCGACCTGAATTTTTAAATCGTTTGGATGATATTGTATTCTTTCAACCTCTCACTATCAATCAACTTTCGTCTGTTATTCATCTTCAATTAAAATCGCTTGAAGAACGTTTAAAAGAACAAGATATTCGAATCAGTTTAACGGAAAAAGCTGTTCAATTAGCTCTCAAGAAATCTTATAATCCAGGTATTTTATTCCCATCCATAAATGAATAATCTCTTTCATACCCCTACATTTTTCTACTTGTGATTATTTGAAAAGAATATTTAGTAGTAGTAGAGTAAGAATTCCTTTCAGAAGAAAATATAAATAATCATCTACTGTATATTGAAAAATATTTAATTTCTTAATATCATCGAGTAAAATACTGAGGCCCACAGAAAAAATTAATTTTTAATCTGAATCTTTAATTGTAGTTAGATGTAATTATAAAAACTTAAAAATTGATATCAGGAGAATTAGAACGAGCCATTGATTGATTTTTTTGTAGTATTGCATGAAGAAATCTAAAGAAGCAATATCTTACAAATGTAATAACCTTAATTATACATTTTCGTTCCAATAAAGTTAATAGATGAGAAAAAAAAATTGTTTCACATATTCAATTCGTTTGCAAGAAATGAATCATTTTGTTTTTGTCTCTGAGAAGAATTTATTTTGCTCTTATAATGACATCTGTTTTCTATTTTTCTACATATTAGACTAGCTGAGATTCAATTTATTTTTCTTCTTTAAAATAGTTTATGGTGCACGTCCATTAAAGCGTTATCTTGAGAAGCATATAACAACAGAACTTTCAAAATTAATAATTGAAATGAAACTTCAACAACATAGCCATGTTACAATTGATACCGATGCACATGATCAATTTCAATTTCAAATTCAACAATTACAACGAACAAATTCTCGTTCTCCATCAAAACCTGCATATATGCGTAAGTGCTAATAGCAATATAAATAACTTTCTAAATAAAATACATTTCATTGCTAGGACGTCGTACTTATGAAGGATTAGATGAAGAACCAATGATGGAAGTTGATAAAGATGAAGAATATGATAACGAATTCTCCGGTTACGATGACAAAAAAGATTCACCTCAAACTTTTTCAAAACGGTTGAAACAATCACCAAGAGTAAAAAAATAATGTTATTACCTTTTCTTTCCTTTTCTTTTGTCACATGTTAATCAAGCAACAGATGATTTTGATGGGCAATGTTAAAAAACTCTTTGTATTATTTCTCTTTTCTTGAGGATATCTATAGTTTTACTTGTAATTATATATTATACTTTTTCTCTCTCGTTTGCTCCTTTTAAATAAAGATGTCAAACATGATTTCTGTTCTATTTTGACGGATTTTATGCTTCCCGGCATCACAATATTAATGAATATAAAGATAAATCGAATTGATTATCTTTCATTAGTTCAATTAAATTACTAGTCAGACTACTTGATTATTAGAATTGAGTCTTAGAGTAAAGCTATGCAGAAAATGGTCGACATTACATACGTACATGTATTCAATGCTATCGATCTAAAATGAAATGTTGAGTTTTAAGGAATCTATCTTGTGCAAATAGATTATTTTTATACAATTGAAAGAGATTTTTGAGAATACTAGTAGCTTTTTAAATGTACATATTCATGAAGTAGAAAAAATAAAATAAATATTGTCGAAGCTGCATAGAAAACCATATAGGAAATTCGAGTATTGATCAAAAATTGAACGTCATATCGAAATAATATGTGCGAAAGATATTTGTTGCTTTACTGATGACAATTTCATTTGATAAGATACAATTTAGAAATGTCATTTTGAATCTAAAACAACAGGTTATTTCTTCCTCGTCATTTGTTTTATTTCATAAGTAACACTCGTAATTATTATATTTGACATTCTACCTTTTGTTCATGCTGCTTTAAGAAAAAATCTAGTTAATATCTGTTTCGGCTTCTCCCATAAATTCAGATTGATATTTCATTTTTCTTTTATATATATGAGCTTATTAATTCAATCTGTAATCTCAACAAATTCGAAGCAAATATACCGCTTATTGCCACTGTGTTTAAGTAGGATAATATTATATATATATCCCTGTTTTGTTTTTGTTATTACTTCGTCATTGTTATTGTATAGGATCAATTCACTGAACAATATAACAAGTGATACAGAAGTGGAGAGTGAGAAGTTCGATTTTCTCTTCGATATCGCACTTTGTCACAGATTTAACGTGGAAAGCTTGAAAATTATTACTATAATAATTTTGATTGAAACTGCTGTTTTTTTTTATAAGTTAAAAGTTTCTTAACTTTTTATTACTCCCGCTTGATTATAATTTGTGAAGTAGTTATTTTTTATTCCCATCACTTTTTCTTTATTTTGAACGCACACATAAACATTCATGGCTAGGTTCAACTACTTTTATGATATTTAACATTCTTTCTGTTAGACAAATTGTAATTATATCATGCTTTTCGAAAATTAAGTTGTATGATATCCCTGTCATACAATTAGCATTTGATCAAATTTTATTTCTCATGACAATTTTCTTCAAAATAAATTATTTTTAAAGTTCGCTTTTTTATTTCGTTAAAGAAGAGAATTTTATAACAATAATTTATATTTTAGTGTTTTTTCTCGAAATTCTACTATATGTAAACGTAATAAAAAGATTTCAGCTTATGATAGTTTCGAATTAATACGATGAACAGATTTGTTTTGCAAAATCTTCATCTATTAAATAAACTACGGTAATTTTAACAGAGCAGGCGTGAGTGTCACTTGGCCCTGAAAGGCTTATTATTTTACAAACTACAATATTCTTATTTATCGATTCGATCATTACCAATAACTTTCATCATCAATATCAAGTATGCCAACGTATTAATTTCAAATACAATGCGCTCTCTATAGAAAAAAAAGATAATTATTTTACACAGATAACAAAACTACGAATAACGATTTATCAAAGAATACTTGTTCATTGATAGAAAAAAGTTATTCTTGCAGGATATCACACTATGAAGTGCAGTTAACAATAAATTGATTTGCCACAGATTTTCAAATATTTGTCTGATGTTGCAAAGAAAAACACTTACAATCGTTCATAGGATTTTCTAACGTAAGAAAGGAAATTCAAAATAAACATAATATACAAATAATGTCGGCGTGAAATTCAAAAAAGTTCTGTTTGAATACATTACGCATAAGATCACGAAATATTATGATGGATACTAAGATGTTGTTGCTGTTGTTTTTTATTTCGGCTTCTCCCTTTTGATGTAGAAAAGAAGATAGGCATCTGCTGAAACGATATCAGTTTCGTAACACATCGATGATACGTACGAGTCATCGAATTTGTACCATTCACTTTTACCGTTTGTCTCGTGTCTAGCACATGCTATATAATGACCACCATATATTGATCCCATATGCTTACTAACAGCAAATAAATCGTAAATAATTTTTTCTGATGATAAAAGAAAACTACTTAAATCTAAACCATTAATTGGATAATCTACAAATGTATCTACTTTTTGTCGTAAACCATTTTCATGTGAAAATCGCTTCAATTGTATAATGAGTATAGATGGAAGACTATACAGTTGAAGTTGTTTTGTTGCTTTCGTATATTTTTTACATTTTTCTTGTTGGCATGACCATGAGTCTTCTAGACGTTCCAATGAGCAAAATTCTCGAAGACAACTTTCAAGAGTTAATTTTTTTACACTCCTATTGAATCGATTAAATGGATTACTGCTTGCGAAATCACCCTTTTCGACAAGTATTACATCAGATGTAGATAACTGATTCAGTAGCATTTCTAAGTCAAGTTCTTCATCATTTGCCATGGCTATAATATTATTATTGAAGTATCGATGAGAAAATGATTCAACAAATGCTTCTATCAGATTTTTCACTTGACCATTTTCATGTACATTGACACATGTCACGTCATTATTTCTATATTTAGCAATAAATGTGACCATAAATTTACGTCCTTGTTGAGCTAGTGGCAATGGCAAGAAACTAATAGGGTTTATCGTTTTCTCTTTATGTTGACACTCAAGACAAGTAATTGCAGATTCTATTTTACCGAAAAATAGTTCTTCTATAATAGTATTTGAATTATTCGGATTTTTTTCTTTTAATTCTCTATGTATTTCATCAAGAAGAAAAGTCATAAATTCTTGAGCATCTTGCTGATCCCAAGTAGCAAACCGTGGAGCTTGAACACCAATGATTTCTTTTAGATGAGTCGGCCGAAACGATGAATAAGGATTAATATTTTTTTCAGTTAACCATAAATTTCGCAATAGATCAGCATATGCTCCAGTCATGGTACCAATTGTATAAAACTGATTCCATCCAGTATCCATACATGTATCACCATCGAAAACGTCCTTAACAAGATCATCTAAAAAGAATTGAGTCAATGGTTTTGCATGAGCAAGACATTGAAGTGCACTGTTCATATAGCAAGTATTTCCAAGATTCGATAAACCCACAGGCATTAAAGGAAACTGTCGAGTGTCCAGATATCTACTCGGAACAAAAGATGTAGAGCTGCGGTTGCTCTCAATTACAGGACGAGGTGGCGTCTCAGTTATTGTACTAGCAGTAATTATGTTACCAGATTTATTTTTAAAATCAACTAAGCGTTGAATTGGTTCGTTATCATCACTAACAATTGATCTGAATGGTATTTGTGATGTAGCGAATGGTCTATTTTTCTTCAGAAATTCTGTATTTTTTGTCGAATCATCTACAGTGTTGTTGTTGTTGCTGTTGTTGTTGTTGCTGTTGTTGTTGTTCACTGATACTTCAGTCCTAGTAGATTCCATAGTTGAGGTTTTAATAATGCTCCCGACATCATCTGGCTGATATTTCGAGATTAACGCTGACGATCGCGGGACCCTTTTATTCGGACTATCCACGGTAGAACAGCCACGATTAGAGGAAATCAGACGACAACTAGCATAAATAGTTTGACCGGAATTTATTCCTAGGGATAAAAGCGTTCGATTCGGTTCACTCAAGTTTATCTTCACATTCGTACGATCAAAAACGGTAAAATCACACAGGCAATAATCTGTGAATCTTTGTTCGACTTGTTTTCTAAGCATTTCAATTGTTGTTGTATGAGGTATATCGAACAAGTATGTTCGATTCGTAGAAGTGCATTCAACATGAATCATCGATGAAGAAAGTGATGATACGATTTGGACAAAGATCATTGTTAGGTCGGTAACACCCAATTCAGTTAAAAGCTTCTCAGAATTTGATACTAGATCGAGTTCTTCAAAATCCATAAAAAGATGAATACGTTGGCGTTCGATTGAATCTAACGAAAATACTTTAATTATATATTCCAGAAGCATTTGTAATGTTGTTATATGTTTGTTCCATGTATATTCTATTTTGTCGATATGATTAGGACCATAAACTCGTAAACGTGAAAGTCTTGATGATGAGAATTCACATAATGGCGCAAAACAGAGAGTATATCCTTGTCGAATGTTAAGTTGATTCAATGTCGTGTAAATATTGAATAAAGGTGCAGGTAAACGTTGATTTCCCATACGTAATTCAACTAGTGAAACATTTCCAGAATCAATATAATCAAGGTCGGCAGTTTTCAAAAACTTTTTAATAACATCACGAATAGTGTCGGTCGATGAACATAAAATGTAGTTCTCACTTTTAAGACCTTGTTGATGATCTTCATAGTGAATTTTAAGTTCTATGCGGGAACTTGTTCTAGTATTCATTAGATCGCTCCTAGTCCTGAAATCATCTAAATATGATCCGTGTTCATATGACATGATGACGTTTGCTAGTTAGTAGTAGTCAAAATAGCAATTGCAGTAGACATGTTTTTTTCAAGAAAATCAANTTTATAAAAAGTAAATCTAAATCTATTTCTAAATTATAAATGGGAGTGACGGTCGACTTATACATTTATGATTTGTAAAATCTAAATCTATTTCTGACAGTGGCGTGAAAACATGGAAGCGGTTTTTTTTTCCATTTATATTCGAAGTCGAATTAGGCAGCTACTCGAAATATGACTTTTTTCATGAAAAACTCCAAACTGCTATTATGTAAGTCATTTACTTATATTTTTTATGGAGTTGATATCATTATCAAGCTTGATAACTTTATTAAACGTTTGCTAGGTGATTTGTTTTTTTCTATTCTACATTTTATATTTATGTGACAGATTCAACTCATTCAACAGGGAGCAGAAGTACTGTTTATATTTTGTGATTGATATTAATAATGAATTACGAAATGTTGAGGTATTATCAACAATTAAATTATGTATGAAAACTGGAAGAACAATGTTAATGGTAAATACAAGTCGAATTCATGATTCATTATATGATATTTTTAATCAAAATTTTTCAATAGCGGCAACAGGTGATATGAGAAAGATATTTTCAAAAGTTGCCATTGGCCCAAAAACAATTGATGTTACTGTTCATATTAAAAGAAGTGAATTTAAAGATATACCAGCACCTTTCCTTAGTCGTTTTCAAAGATATTCATTAAGTGTCAATGATTTCTATCGTATTCGCTTACATAAACTTACTGGTAATGAACAGTTGATTGTAAGAAATGTCGAAGAGAATGTTTTATCATTTATTGAACAGTTCAGGCGACAATATTTTTATGGTATCAATAAAAGTACTCTTTATTCATGTCTGCTATCATTAATTAAAGTAAATGAAAACGAAGAACATTCTTTATTAAATGTGAATCAACACATTATACACAATTAACCTTTAAACTAACATCTTGTGAATGTGGGTCAGACTTAGTAGACAGAGATACAGCCACGACCACATACATACTTTCTCTATTGACACTTGTTCCTCGGTGATATCTAACTTTCAATTGCCATAGTATTTATTTGAAAGAAAGGATAAAAACACACTTCATTTTTTTTCTTCTGAAAATCTCTTGAGCGTTAAGATTGCAAGTGCCCCTATCTAAGGTTAGTGAAATAATCCCAATTAATGTTATATATTTAAGAATGTTAGCGGGATCAATGACAATAGCTTTTGTTGCTAATTTGAATTTCTTTCGGCTGATACAAATATCGTTTGTTTTCATTTGATTCATTATTTTGTAGGACAACATAAACCATAGGACTCTCCCGGTATATTGACGCAATCGTATCCCGGTGGACACAAATGCGTATCGGTTTGTCGTTGGCAAGTGAAGCCTGGATGCGGAAGTTGCTCATTTGAACATGGATTCTGTCTGCAAGCGCATATTAGGCACCAGGGACGGCGCGAAGCAACAAAAATATAGGGGGGTTACTTGAAAACGGGAGGTTTTTTCTCAAAAATCGGAGTAAATTAATAAAAATTTCTTCTATTTTCTTCAAATCGGAGTCAAATTGAAACAAAAATTTCCAAAGTTGGGCCCCCCCCCGTTCGCGCCGTCCCTGTTGGGCACCCATTTGAATCAAGCATAAGGCCCAGCGGACACTGAAGTGCGCAATTTGGAAGAGTTTCGCACGAGTGTTGAGATAAAGATATGTCGACAAACACAAATATTAACATACACAAAAGCACAAGTTTTAATTGATTCATTTTTTTTGTTCGATGTGTTGAATAATAAATATACGTACTTTTCGCTTGTTTTTATAGACGGCATTCTTTCGTTATATGCCATCAACAGCATGCATGACATTTTTTTTTCAAAGTATGATAAACATTGGAGAGTGAAATTATAAGCCATCCATGTCAAAAACAAACGAAAAAGAAACAAGGAAATAACACTATCCAAAGGTTGCCAAGAGTCTTGGTTCATGCAAGGCAACGTGTGGATAAAATATTAGCTGATTGCTACTGTTGTTCATTATTTTTTAATAGAAAAGTTCTAGAATAACAAACATATTGATAATAGTCATTGGGTGATTCATCTAGTGAGTATTCTAAATAGTGTCTTATTTTCGTTATTTCGAGGCATAGTGCAAAGGGTAAAAACAGTCATGCACGGCCAAATATATAACATAATTGAAAATATTTTTTGATTGTGCACTTTAGCTGAACTTTAGAGTCATCTTTCACCTTAAATAACATTTGTCTGGCGATCTTTGAATCATAATAGAGGAGAATACTATAAAAAAAAAGTGGCACAAAAACCATGAATTATGGCGTACTATTGATTTATTATTGATATGCTTTCATTTATTATCATATTTTTTGCTTCTCTGTTGAGGAGAAGTGAACCATTGACCAATGTTGGAGGTATTATTCTACAGGATACAACATGGAGTAGCGTTGGAAATGCTAATCCTTACTATCTCATCAGTGATGTTTATGTGCCAAGAAACGTTACACTCATCATTCGACCAGGAGTACGAATTCTTTTTAATAATGGTGATTTTGAAATACTTGTCAAAGGATTTTTGCAAGTAAACGGAAATGCCTTAAATCCTGTGCTATTATAATGGTACAGGAACGAATACGAAATGAATGATAACATTTCAATCAACTAGTTTATCAGGAAGTTCCATCAATTGTGCCATATTCACTGGACCTAAGAAAGGATTGCAGATTACGACCGCACTTGCTGGTTTACCTCAAAATACGGGTGTCTTAGCTGTTGAGAACGCTATTTTTCTTGGAGGCACATCTATCGAATCCAATGGTAAGATGTTTGCTTTTGAGTGTGTGTGCATCATGTCCTTACCCATAAACTATTTACACTCAAACTCACATCCTTATGGATATTTTTACTCTGACATTGATGCTTATTCAAAATATCACATAACTTTGCGTTCAAATCGTAGTTTTCTTATAGAAACTTGTTATATTACTAGTAAAAGAAGGTTCAAAATCAGTATATGTTACCATCAAACGATTAGAAAGATTCTCTATAACAATATTACAAATAGATTGCTTTTGTCAGTTTTCTTTCCGAATTTAAATAAAAGAACTGATTTCTAAAGATATAAAAGGTTTTTTTTTCGTTTTTTGAAGCTTTAGGTATGAGTGAGGCTCTGTCTGATCAGATATTTTATATTTGATTCGTGCATTGGGAAAAGTGGAATCAAATATCAGTGGATGGCCTATGAGTGAAACACTCGCGAAAGATGAATATAAAGTGAATTTAAAATTCTGTTCAAAAAAATGTTGCATACTGATGTTGGGCTTAATTTGAAACGATCACGACTGGCATCGCCCCTTCTACTGAAAAAGCCTTATAAGGATTCTCCTGCAGATCATAAACAGTATAAAGATAGGTCATGTTTTCGAACCGTTTCAATATATCGAGCTAAAACGTTTATCAAACATATTTCTCATGAAGAGCATCCATACCTGAAAATTTCAACTCGAGCAGACGTGAGTCGGAGCCCTTAATGCAAGCTAAGGAGAGAACTGTCACTTACGTATCTTTTATGGATATTTTTTTTTCATATGAAAAATACAGATTTTAGTCTTTATTTTTTTCTTATTATTGTAAGTGATTTATGAACTTTTGTTCTCAATAAGTTTTATTTAAAAGGTTCTCTAACTTAAGAATATTTTCCTTGAAATTCATAAATATTTTGAGCATTCAAATGATTGATTCTTTTCATTTAAAGCAAACTGAATAGTGTTGAATCAATACCAAGACGATTCGTATGTATCATATTTAACTATGCTTTTCCTACAGCTTAGAATTTTCTTAAATATATTTTCATGCTGATCAGAATCGTTTTATAGAATGCTTTTTTTTAAAGACCTGAGACCTTTTCAAAATTAGAAATCGATTTAAAGTCATTTTATTCTGAAAGAAAAGCATTGAAAGATGCCTTTCTTTGAAGCTTCCCATCGTCTCAGTTTGATTTTTTTGCGCGCCACATAATATACCTTGTTAGCCCAAATCGATGATTTCGGGCGCCGAAAACAGTTGAGCTATACTGAAACGGATCAAAAAGATGGCAGAACCATAATCATTTCTAACAAAACACAAACACTGAAAATCAATGAAACATATGGACGCAGTCTTTGGATTTTTTTCTGTTGGAAAGAACAGGAAGTTAATCGGAACGCATCGGAGAAAATTTGTAGACTTTCCGATGAAAATTCTTTTTCCATGCTACATTGATTTCTTATATATTTCTGCTAGAATCTATCCGTACTTCTTGATCTAGAATTAAAAATATTCAATGCATATGATGAACAGGACTCCATATCGTTGATATGACTCATATTTCTTTGTTTTCCATCTACGATTGCTCGAGCATAAATCTCATTCTCTATTATCTATCTATAGGTAACTATCCATTTAGCTCCTACTTTCCTTTGGACCGTTCTCCGTCTGCTCCTACACTCCAGTTGACATCAGCAATTATTAATGATTCGACAGTGTCAAATGGCAACACTTTCAGTGAATCGATTCTTATAATTACAAGCAAACTTTACAATACAACTATTCGACCGATAGCAACTTTAGGAGGCATCCAGTTTGTTAATTCCAAATTGATAAATATAACAATTAAATTGGAAAACAATTATCAAAATACACCAGCTCTGCTTCAATTTAATGATTCGATAATCGAAAATACAGTTGAACAATATTCGAATTGGTGGGACCCCATTAATGTTTATATGAGAGTTTTTCGCAGTATAATTCGCAATTCCTTATTTGCGAGGGCTTTCGTTGACCAATATTATTATTATGGGAGGGGTGCGCATAGTTTCATTCTTCAAGACTCAACAATCGAAAATGTTTCGATTGATATCGTAGGTTCAGATAGCTACTATTACTATTATGGTACTTACACCAATTATTATGGTTCAATATTTATGAACAACTCCACATTTAATAATGGTACTATAAGAATTTTCGGGTATGGATCATCAGCCACATTTCAAGATTCAAGATTTTGTGATGTCAACATTGCGTATGTAAATCCATCGCAGTACTACAGTAAAGGAGTGAATATAAAAAACGTCATCTTCAGAAATGTTAGCATGAATTTGCCTGTGTCTCATGTCTTGATTAGTTATTCAACTATAGAGCTCAAATCACCTCCACTAGTATTGGGTGATCACTCAGCTATTGTATGCAGTCTTATCAAACGCTCATTATCTATTGCACAAGAGAATACGACGGGTATTCAAACGACTGGTACTAATATAATTTTATCCACAATCAGCTCATTTGCAGTTGGCTTACAGGTGGCATACAATACTATACAAAAGAATTTTATTTTGAATTCCAATTTCATTTCCAATAGTCTATTCCATATACGAAATTTTAGTCCGTATAATATTGAAGCAACTGGCAACTGGTGGGGAACTCGATATAGTGCAGATATCCGAAATAAAATTTATGACTATTGGAATAGCATAAATCTTGGCGGAGTGATCTGCTCTAACCCTTCAGACGAAAAATTGCAAGCTGAAGATAGCTGCCCACCTTACAATGTGTATACGATTATAACAAATTTTGCAAATGTTGCCTAAGTTTAACATATTCGTATACTTTAAAACTTTACTTTTGAATTACCTTTTAAAACTAATGATTACTATATATCGTAGCTTTATATTTTACGTTATTCATGCTTTATCCTTTCTTTTTTTTTGCTTGAAATCAATAAACTATTTGCTAAAATTTTTCACTAGCTGAATGAACGTGTTTAAACCTATAACAGTTAGACTCATTGTTACAAGTGCTTATTTATTGGCATGACAGTGACTTAGATAATTGAAATCAAAAGCTAGTAAGACGCGTGTCGATTGAACCATAATATAAAAGTACGTCCTGTTTAAACATACACCGTTTATTAAGACCTTATAATGCTTCTAATTGATTGGCGACTTTGAGAGTAGTTTTGAATTTTTACGGATAATATAAAATGGCGCGTATAAGGGTTATAGTACTGTACGGTTAATCAAAGTTTTTAAATGAAATTAAAGAGCATTCATAAAAGACAGTGGTAAATGAAGAATTCTTGAAACTGTATAAATATTGACAAAAGGAAAGAAATCTACCATATGAATCCGCAGAGATTCAATACCCAACCAAAACTGATATTTGCAAAAATTTTTAGAAACTGTGTTAGTATTCAAAGTATTTTTCAGTCCATTGATTTGATTCACCGAAAACGCAAGTTATCTGAAATAGTAGCAACTTTTAGGAATAGATGCAAAGCAGTAATTCATACGTAGGCTCACGTATGATTACCGTCTGCATTCAATAACAATTTTTGCGTATTAAAGCAAAACAAGCACAACTAATATTCATCGACATTCAATGTCGATTCATTTGGCACTAGAATGACGGAATGATGACCAAAATATCCTTATATTTAAAAAAAAGAATTGTATATGATGCTGAGTGTGAGAGAAATTTATTAATATTTGTAACATGTCTAATATTACATACTATCCATATATTCAAATAGTTCACATGAAATATTGAAGCATGCTAATTTATATGATAAAGCTGATGCTTTACTTAATCATAACGACTAAAAGATAGTTAGTTATGTACAAGTGATGGCTACTTCTAATACGGGCATGGCCAGTTGTGACACAGATATGCGCATGTAAACCATAAGAATATTCAACTCTGTCATAGAAATAGCTGATTGTACAGTGAAAATGATGAATTACGTCCCACAAACAGTCAATTGTATAATGAAAATGGTCATCTGTATCAAGTGCTACAGACAGACAGATAGACACAAATGAATTTCAGCTTTTAGACCCTGTCCTCTCAGTCTAGGGAACATATGGCAAAATTCATGAGTGCTATATCTCCAAATAACTATGCATAATATTCGTAGTTATTCATGCAACTTATGTAATTCGAATTCAAATGCAAGCGTTACCTTCGTTTATTTAGATGATGATTAAAAGTCTTTTAGATATCACGCATCAACAGGGAATTATTCACTAATGAAACATATCATTGAAGTGATGTTTCATGGATTTGAAAATGTTAGGTATTTTACATTTTACATTATACATGATACTCCACGCAACAGCTAAGCGGCTTCTTTGATTGGCACATATCTATTTTTAGATGGCTGCAGCTCTGGGCATATGTGTAAGTTTGTGTACTCTATGGTCATACACATACATATCCTCAGTTACTCAGTTACAGCCATTCATGAACACTCACCCATAATCATAAACATACTGTCATAGTATCCAATGAGCGTCTAATGCACTGTACACCCAAGTCTTATATTTAGGAAGGATATGAATATGAATGAATGTGGATGTCGGTATGCGACTTAATGCGCCGAGAAGTGTTCTCCGTGTACATATCAACACTCAATTTTTACCTAGATATCTTTGGTGAATGATGTCTTAAGCGCCGTATGTGCCTTTTGAAGCGTGGACGTCTTTAAATATTGTACCCATCGAGCTGTACTTCTTGAATCGAATTATAAAGCATACCAAATACTATAGCAGAAGTAAATTGAGACGCAGTTATGTACGTACTCATCCACACATCTGAGAATTTTAGGTCTTTTCTTACAGGTAGATATAGCAACGAAGCGAGTAAAATTGAATAGACGAGTATGCCTATGGGTAATATAACTAAAACCCAAATATAGGCCAGCGTCATTGGAATTATATTTGTAATACAGTAGGGTAATGCGATGATTCCAATAAGCGTTAGCATGCAGACTGGAATAACAAAAATTTTAGCTAATACCGTTTTGGCTAGAGAAGTATAGTCGTTGAATATTTTTTGTCCAGCAGTAGTAGTTATGTTGGATAGAGTAGGTAACAAAAAATTAATGTAACGATAACCGAATGCATTGTAGCATCGTCATCCTGATGAATTTTCACTTGAATTACATGCTCCCTGTTCAATACAAATTATTATGAATTGAGCGATTGCAACTACGGAGTAAATAAGGTCCAAAACATTTATATCAGACAACGTCACTAAAAATTAGGAAAGATACTTCTCATTTGAACCTCGTTTACACTTTAAATAACGGTTTTTTACAAAATATGAAGAGATTATCCCCAAGGATATATGCGAGTGGTCCACAAGAAATTAACGTTATCCTGGTCTAAATTTTTACAAAACTATGATAATTCTTTAACCCATTTAGTCCTTTTAATTCTTTCAACACCCTGAACCCCTTTAATTATTTTAGTGCTTTTAAAAGGCCAAAGCCACTAAAAGGATTAAAGGCACTAAATGGATTAACGGGATTAAAGGAGCTAAAGGCACTAAAGAGACTAAAGGTAATCAAGCGGCTGAAAATACAAAAGGGATTAGAGGCACTAGAGATACTAAAAGAGCTGAAGGGTCTAAAGCGACTATAGGTATTAGAGGTTTATCATGGATTTTTAACCCTTTGGGTCACGACTCTTTTTTTACCGAATTTAAAAAAGTTAGATAAGGATAATTTTAGTTTCTTGTGGAGCTATTAAATAAGTTATTGATAATTTGAGCAAAGCTCGGAGTCTGAATTTATTGCTCAGTAGATACAGATATTTTATGGTATTTTGTGAAGCACGATCTAAAAAGAGTTTTTAAGTGTAAAAAGGTCAGAAATGTGAACCTTCTATTCTCTCCAAATAGACGGATGAGGGACCCTTCAATACACCGACATAAATTACGACAAATGAGCTAGAAAAACCATCACATACTGAGCCAGACTATCATAAGGAGCCATCAAAAACAGTGACAGACGTGTTTCATATATTGTGGAACTCACATATATTTGTGAATAAAATAATCTGTAAGTTTTAAAACCAAGATTATTGCTGCTCCCCTCTTCTCTTACCGACCATAGCATCGACAGAGAATCTCTATATAATGTTTAGTGTCTGCGTATTTGCCTGTGCCGGGTCAAAGCTCAAATCTCAAAGGTTAAAGATCACATAAGACTATAAGGGGAAGATCTTCAGGGACTATTATATGGAGTTACATATCCATATCATATTACAGCAGAGTGAACACAAATAGTACATATTATTTTTCGATATATTATTTGAATAGTAGGAATACATCATGGAAACTCTGATGATGAAGTTTATTAGTTTTTTTTAAAATGGAAAGCTTTTGATAATACGGAAAAATACATCGGCAACGAAAAACAAATATTTCTTTTTTTCTTCTGTATAATATATCATGAACTCCAAAATGAATCTTGATTATCCAGAATGAATTACTGATTATTATAAATGCATAGAAAAAAATCTGCCGAAAGTAATGAAACAACTATTGGATCAAATAAATGATTAGTACTTAATAGTATTAATCAACAAGAATTGATAATAGATTCAATAAAAAAAATGTAAACATGCAAATGAATATGGTTATGGTAGAGAAGTTGAAATTGAAAAAAATCTTGACGCAATGAATGTTTACGGGGAATTATTGTTGTTGTAAGAATTATTTCATTGATTTTTGTTTTTTTATATTGATTTAGAATCAAATTACAATCAACCGATAAGCCAGAATTAGTACTAAGTAAAGTTTATTTTAATTATGTAGTTTTTGTTTAAAAAAAAACAGTAAGATTCTCCGCGAGCAATTTTTGTCGGCTCGAAAAGATCAGTTTTTTTCTATAGGGAGGAGAAATTGCTGTTCTCTTATTTCATTTTTTTTATTACCTGATGTGTTTTCGTTTAAAACTTCCTATGAACTCGTTCTATATCACGATTGATTTCAGCTTTGGAAAGTCCATTTGATATGAAATCATATGCATCTACTATTGGAATCAATGTTTTCAATATCTCGAACTTATTGTTCATAGTTGATTTGTTGAAGTAGAAAAATGTCGTTTGAAGGTTTGTAAAATTCATCATAAAGAAATTTAATGTTCATTACCTAAATGTTGTGACAAATCTTCTTGGTAGAATATTTCGAAAAAAGAACAAAATAAAATCTTTCAAAATCAATTTTAGTCATAAAAAATTGTATAGGTTCGTTTTCATTTTCTGGTTAAAAGTTTAATTGTGAGTCATTAAAATTCATAATATTAAGAAGCAGTTCAGAAGAAAATCAAAGAAAGAGAAATGACGACATTGTTCCTCTTATGAATTCATTCGATCATTATCAATTTCGACCATTGAAAAAAGACATTGTTATTGTTCTTCGATGTCAGTCAGATAGAATCAGAAGTCAAAGAAACTCTAAACGAATTAGAACTAGATTAACCAATGTAATTATTGTTTCTACGTGGCAAAGCGTATCTAATTGCTTCATTCAATTTCACTTCGCCTAGTCTGTTTCCCTCATAATAAAAGAAGTATATAAATATTGACCTTTCGAATGTACAACAAAAAACAGACAAATGAATATAAATATGAAATATTCACGTGTCGAATTGAATGATTTGCCGGATGAAATTCTTCTAATTATTTTTAAAAAACTGGACAATCTTGAAATACTTTATTCTTTTCAAGGAGTCAATGAACGATTGAATAACATTATGCATGATCCAATATTTACAAGTCGTTTAAGCTTTCCTAAATTATCATTCAAGAAATATATCAAGAAATTTTCTTCTGATATAATACTTAATCGATTTTGTTCACAAATTTTACCTACAATTCGTACAAAAATCACATGGCTGGATCTTGAATCTGAATCTATGAGAAATATTTTAGATGCAGCTGATTATCCTAATTTATATGCACTCGGCCTATATAATGTCGAAGATGAGACAGCTAAATGTCTTTTTACCGGTAAGGAAATCTCAATAGTATTTTATTAATTCTAGCCAAAGTAAACCACACCAATTGATATAAAGGAAAATAATATTTAAAAAATAATGATCATTACTCTATAACAAAATTTATTATGGACTCAGTTTCAAGGAGAGATTATTTCTAATGGAAAAATTCCTTCCTATTAAATATTCTCTTAGTCGTTTGACTATTTGTCTTAGTCTTTGATTATATGAAAAGTTGATTACATTGTTTAATATTATTTACGTGTTTAGATGAAAGACTTTTAGCTTCTATTTTCAAAAATCAAATTACAACACTTATTATTTCAATTGATCCAGATAAAAACGAACGGTCGACAATGAACAACATATGCAATCATGTCTTTACTGTGTTTATCAATTTGACTCATTTAACATTTTACGATGCCGCACATCAAAATAATGCTCGATTATCATTTGATGTTCCATTTCCTACTTTTTCGTCTTCATCTCTTCTGGTATTGAAAATCAAGGTTCAAACTTTTGATGTGTCTCTTTATATTCTCGATGGTCGTTTCGAACAACTTCATACACTCGATATTGAATTGGCTAGCATATTATCTCCATCGGAAATTGAAAATCAAGTTCGTTTTATAAGAGAATAAATTTGATTTCATTTACGTTTCTGTTTCTCTAGAGAAAAATTCCAAATCTGAAGTATTTTGTTTTGTGTTGTATGTTGCGAACATGGTATTATGATGAATTAATTCTTCCACTTATTTATCGAATGTCAAATTTAGAAGAACTTGGCTTGTCTTTCACTACCACTGTCAAGGAAACATTCATTGATGGAAACAATTTGAAGCAAAATATTCTGAATCATTTGTCACAATTAAAACACTTTACATTTGATATTCGTTCGGTTATGTTTATTAAAAATCAAATGAATTTACCATCGAAAGAAGACATTCAAGAAACATTCATCGATTTGCAATATACTAAGATAATATCTTGTGTTGATTACTTTCGAGACTATCGACAGGGTCTATGTCATATTTATTCATATCCATTTTTAATGGGACGTTTCGAAGATATAACAAATAATTTTGCAGGTGGATTATATCCATATGTTCGTGTTGTATCATTATATGATGAACACCCTTTTGAACATGAATTTTTTATTCGAATATCTCAATCATTTCCATGTATGGAAAAATTAATTATCAATAATCGTTATGGACAAAATCAGAAAGAATCTTACAAATTAATGAATGATAAGTCGAATTTATCAATTGCTAAATATTATAATCTTATCGATCTTCATATAGATCGAGCTCATGATGATTATATTGACGAATTTCTATGTAATGCGAAAACATATTTCCAAAATAATATTCTTCTTGATATCGATTATAAAGTATTGCAAAGAGTCACACATGATTTTACAAGAGATGATACACGAATTAATTGTACCAAAGTAAATGAACTGTCTTTATCCGAAAACGTTAAAGATTCGAAATCTGTACAAGATTATTTTCCTTTTGCAATAATAGATTGATTATTATTCATATTAAAGACGTAAACTTTTATTATATTAAAAGGAAAATAGAAAAGCGTTTTGTGTATTGTTGTGTGGGAACAATGTGCACAAAGAAATTAATATGATCATAGAATAATACAATCTGTGAAATAAATTCATTTTATTTAATAAAAGTATTCTTTAAAAATACTGAACACTGAAGCGTTAATAAAAGAATTTTAACTCTAAACCATATTGGCACAATCTGCTTTTTTTGCGTGATTTCTAACATTAGAAATTAGTTTGTTTGTCATTGATTTGATGCGTATTTATCAATGTTAACGCAAAGAATATTTTCATTAAAAGGATCCTTTCCAATAAAAACATGAATATTTATTTAAAAAAATGAAAATAAAAAGTTCCAATTATTCTCTCACCAAATCATTAAAAACAGAACATGTACAATAAAAATTATCTTGTCATTGCTTACGAGGGAACATATCCAAGTGATAACTTCCATTCAAGCTCACACTCTACTCATAGGTAAGGGTCATAGGGTAGATAAAAACTGTAGAAGTGTTCGTGTCATTGCTGCAGTATTTCAGAGAAACAAAGACAGAAAATAACAAGTTTCTATAAAATTCTCATTATTAACATGTCTATAAAGATGACTGCAATATATTTTGTTTCGCATATTGATATTTGTTATGAAAAATGATAAATTATTGAATGCATTTTTTTAAAGATGTACCATAAAGCGCGCTACAAAAAATGTACAATAAGACTTCCACCGATTTGGTCTAAAGATTTTCTCCTTTATTAAAATATACAACCTATCCGATAGAGTCGCGTGTGGTGTGTGACTGGAGATAAGACTGAAGGAAAGAAAAACGCGCACACCCCCAAAATGATTACTAAAAACATTAGCTAGAATTACTGGCTAACTATTATACGTTTTGAAAAAGTTAGAATCAATAACAAATGAAGATGTTGATCTAAACAAAATAGCAACGAATAACATGACATGTCTGAAGATACAATATAGTACCGCGTGGCCTTTAATCTTGAGAGAAGAAGATTTACTTAGATACATTACTATTAAATGTTCTTCCTTGAAAACCTATTTCATCCTTTAATTTTCAAACAGTTTTATTCTACTGTTTTTTATTTTATTATAATTCGTCATCGCTGATATATTATTGTATTTCTTGAGTTTTTATAAACAGAACTTTTACATACGGATCATCATATTAACTTTATGCATAGCTGACTTTTGAGAGAGTTGTCGTGTTTCGAAGTTCCTAATTCGAAATATGTATACTAAGAAAAACTTGACGACAAACGAGAATCTGCTATATTTATCGTATAAATAATCATAAATTGAATGAGACTAACTCTCAAACAATAAGAAAATCTTCTTATAATGATTGAATATGTGTGTTGATACGTTTCTTTCACACCTACACCACCGATAGCTGAAAATGAATCAGGTGCTTGTCATCGGCATGCATTTAATATAATACTTTAAAATATAGCATGCTATATCTAAATTATGATTATATTTCCTAACTTAATATAGTAGTATCTGTTCCGGTGAAAGAATACTTAAAAAAATGTTCTAGTCTGATTTTTTAATTAAACATCTTTTAAATGAATTAAATATCTGAATTAAAAAATGTTCTGTCTTTTAATTTAATATATTATCACTTGTAACGAATAACTGTCAATTAATTTATTGAGTTATCGAATTAATTTGAACGCAATCTATAATTGATCAGTACTTATCAATTAATTGAAAGAGTATATATGAGCTAGTAAGGATGATAAGCGATAAGAAAAAAGTTAGTTTAAAAAATATGAAAGAATATGCCATTAAAAAAATGACAGAAGCATTATCAGATGATGATAAAATAGATTCAATAGACTGTTGTACCAACTTTGTGCAATAGTTTTCTTTTTCTTTCTGTGTTTTTTTGTTGTAATTGATAATTGTATCTTTATTTTTTTCTATTACTTTAATTATTAATTAGATAAAAATTTATTTTAAAATTAGATATAGATTTCTAGGTGTTTAGGTATTAGTTTATGTTCACCCCTTTGTTATCTATATCCTCACATTCGACGCTTTCTAATATCCTATTTCTTTCCTATCATTGAGCTCAACATAGTGGCTAAGTTTTTGTAAAGTATATTCACATCGATTATTGATGTCACAAGTATGTTTTTCTTTTTATCTTTAATTTGTATGTGAGGATAAATATATTGAAAATTTAATTAAAAAAAGGTGGAAACTTCGGATTTCATCCGAGAGTTATGTGTAATGCAAAAGGTGCATGGGACATATTAGTCATTCTAGAATGTCTGAACACCAAAATTATCATGAGAAACTATACAATTTGAATTCTGGATGCAGTTTTTGTGCATTTTGAGACTTTTTTCAGGCGATGTTTCGTTAGAAAGCTACGGTGTAGTTCAAAACTAATATCAGATTCGGAATCAGCGTTAAAAACTGAGTCGACTTATATATGTTGTGAATCATGCTGAGAAAAATTTGTTTTTTGGAAAAAAATCGCTGTACTCCTTCTCAGGGATGGCCTGGTCAAAAATGATAATTGTTTCGATAACTCAACCATTTCTTAAGGGATACTTCTCATCCTCGAACTCGACCGAGATATTCATGAGATTGAACCGTGTGGAAAATTTCATCAAGATCTGACTCTCCTTTCGAAATTTATCGTGCCTACGGTCGGACGGACACACTGACCGATTCTAGAGCGTACTCACTTTTTGAGTACACAAAAATAAGGACAACGAAATAGTTCTTACAGCAACATTAATTCCCCGTGAACATTCATTGCATCAGGATTTTTTTTCAATTTCAACTCCTCTACCATAACCATATTCATTTGCATGTTTAAGTTGTTTTATTGAATCTATTATTGATTCTTGTTGATTAATACTATTAAGTGCTAATCATTTATTTGATCCAATAGTTCTTTCATTAATTTCTGCAGATTTTTTTCTATGGGTTTTTGATAATCAAGATTCATTTTACGATTCATGATATATTATGCAGAGAAAAAGAAATATTCTGTTTATTAACTATGTAATTATTTTTCCGTATCATCAAAACCTTTCCATTTTAAAAAACTAATAAACTTCATCATCAGAGTTTCCATGATGTATTCCTACTATTCAAATATGAAGATAACATTAAATCAAAGATGTTCAAATACAATACTTATAACTGTTTATTTTTAGGCAGTAACATCTATTTTATTGCGATGAAAATTCAATGAATACGCTGGTGGAGCACAAAACATTTTTGAAGTATAGAATTTATGAGTTTTCTCATTGGGTTTTTGGATCTAGACGTAATTAGAGAGCATTTTACTGATTGCGATATTTTCTTCGATAATTTCAATAATGAGCATTATTGAAACACATGTTTTATGCATCACGTATTCTTGGTTCATTGTATTCTCCATAAATTTCATAATTATTTGCACGTGTTTGATCCCAATTCATATTTGCCTTAGAGCAATAGTCTGATGGATCTGCTACTTCGCAAACAAATTCATACTAGATGGTATTCGAGTTTCACCCGAATACAAAATGCAATGCGAAGCACGAGTCGAATTTTGTCAAGAATTGAGAATAAGATGAAATAGCGATACAAATTGATTTCGACAAAAGTAATGACTTGTTTTACAGTGTCAAACGTCTTTTTATCTGTAAAGCAACGACAAAAAAAATCGATCCTGGTATTTGGTCAAGCAGACATAAGGTTTTTATAGTAAACAGCACAGATAGAGTTAGTGATGATTGAGAGAAGAAAACCTTTCCAATAATGAAAACGATGAACTAGCACAAACCAATATAGTAGAGATATGTACGTACTTTTCTAGTCAAAGACGAAATTTGCTCTTTCAGGTAGAGTGATTACTCGTAGAGGATTTTGAGCTGCATTTTTTTTCAAAATATTCAACATTTGATTCTCTAGAGAAATGAACATGCATCCCATTAAAGTAAAGACTAAAACTTTACTGGAGTATTAATGCGTGGTTGATGCTTCAACTTGGTGAAGATCTATTTTACTTGTATATTTAAGAATTTTCAAAATGAAACTTTCTTCTCATGTAAATTCTTTTCTTAAATAAAAAGAAAAGTGTCTTCTTTCGTTTGATAACTTTTCTTTTATACAATAAGATTTCGCGATGAAAACTCATTGAAACAGGACATCAATATTCAGTAATCGCAATATTATTCTAATAAATACATTGCTAAAATGAAGTTTTTGTATTTTATTCTGTTGGATGCGTTTGTTGAGAATCAGATGGAGAATTTTTTCAAAAGAAACCGATTCAGTTGAAATAAGTGAAAATAGCAACGAGAGAACTTATTCTAGCATTCCTTGACACTCGAATCCATTGCTCATGTGTTACGAAACAATATGGTGATTTGCATTTATTCATCATTTTTCTTTGATTTATCTATGGAGCCCAGCAGCTTGCGAATGTCTCACAAAATAACAAAGTAAATTGGACTTCGTATTTGTTGATTTTTCTCTGTGTTTCTACTTTTCTATCTTAAGACATCGATGAATGCTAATCTCAATAGAAATAGTATTGTAGAATCAATATGATACCAGTCTGAAGGATGACTCTTTAATATTAGACGCTAGTTTACTGTCAGAGACATTCATATCAGCAACAAAAAAAATACAAGATAAATATTTCTGTTATTTACTATTACTTATGAGACATACAGTCCCATATATACGATGCCATTCTCTAGAACTTTCTTATGATTACAATTTGATCCATACCCATCAACTATGCCAGTTCCTTATAAAAAAGTCAAGTAATTGTCTCATATGATGAAGATACCAGATTCTTACGAAAAGAGTATCGTTGAAATCAATAGCACCAATGACAGATATTCTGCATGCTCTATTTATTTATAAGCAACGTTCCAGTTTTCTAGTATTTGATAGATACTCCTACGAAAAAGAAGACGTCAAATCTGTTCGCCCTAGAAATTCTGTCAGATATTATTTTGATGTTTGCAATACGCGACCTAAAATTCTCATTAAACTCATCATACATATCATGCATCTAGATGTGAATCTGCCTGATGTATTTGCGTGCATATTGTATAGAAATGAAATGTCTTGTTTTTTTCATTCAACGAAATCGATTCGAGAGAAACGACGAAAAAGTTTATTCTTAAGGGAGGGATGGGTACCCCCATCCCCTTAATTTAAAAACTAATTAATCGCGAGTTTATCGGTTGCTATAAAGCAAAAGTTGAGCCTCTCAACTTGAGAGTAGCAACTTGATTTGTATCAAGAAGATATAACATTCGTCTTTCTGACTAGCTAGCGATCAGTCGCATTTTAGTTTATCCGTATTCTGCGCTTAGTGCCCCCGTTTTTCTGCTCTTTTTTATTTTTCTATTTTTCTCAACAACATCTTCTTTTAAGTCCTTTTTTGAGAATTTCTTCTTTCGTGTCTGAGTCAGAACTCACACACTTATTTTAGGTGGCCTTCGGATATGCCTCCGAAAAGAGGAGGTGGGGTTGCCTGTGGTAAGCAGCGGAACCAAAACCTCGACAAACAAATCAACCAAATTCACCAAACAGCTGATAAAAATGGTCATTCACAAGTTGGAAGACCATCATTGGTTGGACAATCCAGCCAATCAAAATTCACCATTGCCCCCTCATTATAGAGGGAATCAAGATCAGCAAGCTTCAACTTAATGATCTATTAAAAGAGCATTTAAATGATGTTAAAATCCATGATATACAACTTAGTAGATCTGGATCATTCACATTATATGCAAGTGATGTTAGCTCAGTTAACCGCCTGTTAAATGAATTTACAATAATCCTTGCAGCTAACGGTCAACAAGCAGCAAAAATCTTCGTTCCTCGATCGATTCAACGAATCTAGGATATAGAAATGGTCGCTTTCGTAAAGAGAGTCGACCTTGAAATAGCGGATAATCGAATAACCGAAGTACTAACGAAAGTTGGTCTCGACGTTATCAATGTTATTCGATTAACCTGAAAAGGTGGAAATGCACCAACAATCGCCATTAAAATCACATTTAAAGATGCAAACAATCGCAACACATTTATTCACACTGTATTACAAGTGGATTCGATGCACTTTAATGCTGAAGCTGCTTCACAAAATAAAAAGTCAATACAATGCTACATTTGTCTCCAATACAATCATGTAGCCAAGTACTGCAAAACAAAACAGCAAATATGTGCTAAATACGGTGATAACCATAGTATCGAGCAATGCACAGCTGTAAATGGTGCAGTTAAATGCAATAACTGTAAAGGTAAACATTTGGCAACTGCTAATGATTGTCCTAACCTTTTAGAACAAGAAAAGCGAATGTTGAATTTAATTAATCAATATTCGTCTACAAGCAGTCCAACAGTCACAACACCGTTACTACATGATAGCAATGAATTTCCTTCATTACCAAACATGTATCAACGTCAACAAGGTTTTTTACATAATGATATCCTCGATGAACTTATCAATCTACTTACCAGCAAGATGGACAAAATCATAGCAGAAACAACCAAACGATTATTTAAATCACTTCAACAGAAGATTAAAAAAATCGGACAAACTATTTCATCAGTTGAAACCTTAATCAACGACGATAATTACAACATCATCATCATCATTCTCGGATGGTGATGAAGGTGTTCAAATAGTTAATACAAAAAACAACCTGCAACAAAAAACGCCAAACCAAAGAAACAAATTAATAAACCAACCACTATATCTGTTGCAACAACAGCAAAATCAACAACGACCACAAATACAACTAAAAAACCAACACAACCATCTATCACAACTAATGATAGTATTTTAAAACCAACAGCAAAAACATCAAAAAGAAATCGATCACTCGACAGTTCACTGGACTCGACGATATTGGACACCAAAGATCGTAAAGCAGACACGATCAATGATTAGTATCTGTCTCATTAACATCAACTCAATTACAAAAAAACAAAGTTGAACTCCTAGCCAGATTCTCCAAATACGACGTCATCTCTGTAAATGAAACTAATCTAAAGAGTGAACGACCGTTCTCTCTCTTGGGTTACAACATCTTCAGAGATGACCGAGTAGGAAAAGCTGGTGGTGGAGTATTATTAGCAGTCAAAGAACACATAAAATGCCGAGAAATTATCAATAAAACAACCCACAAGAACGAAATAATAGCAGTTCAAATCGAAACGTTATTATACAAATCAATTCTGATATCCTCAATCTATGTTACACCAACAGCTAAGATCGATATGAACATCTTCCAAGAACTGTACAACATTAACAGCAACTGCATTATAGTAGGTGATCTCAACGCAACAATATCTGAAATGTGATTAACAAAGACAAATGCAAGAGGAAAACAGCTGCAATTGCTTAACGAAGGTTTTATCGAATGTGTCGACGATGATAGTACAACATTTGAAAAAAATGAATATGAAGCCAAATTAGATTGGATATTAGGAAGTCAACCACTCCTATCATTCATAACAAATGTTGAAACACACCCAACCATCGGCTCAATAAATGGACATAAACCATTAAAATTCGATATCCAAATTGGAGCTGAACCAAAACCAACTTCTCCAAGATTATCACTTAATTTTAAAGAAGCAAAATGGGCAAAGTTCAGATCCAAATTAGATCGACAACTAATACTATGGAATAACGATCTTAGTCTAAATTCACCTTTAGACATAGAAGATTATTCAATGTTTATTACCGATAGTATTATGTTAGCAACTAAAGAAGCCATTCCAACATCTACACCAACGAGCAAAAGTTATGCATTAAGTGAAGCATCCAAGAGCTTGATCACACTGAGGCATCAAGCATATCAAAGATGGAAGAGGACCGGAGTCAATATAGACAAACGTCAATATTACAACTCCAAAATCTTATTAACCAACTCACTTAGAAATGACAGAATAGACAACATTAACAAGTTAATGTCATCCCTATGTCATAAAAAAATGTATTCAGACAAGGTTTGGCTTACAGTTCGCAAGTTCCATAGCAAAAGAATTAAGCAAACTTTTACATGCAACAACACGACAGCATCATCAGATAAAGAAAAAGCAGAATTATTTGCGAATTACTTCGAAAATGATGTCTACTCTTCCACTGATGATACACTGCCATTTCATGATCAAGTAACAAGCCAAGCAAGCAACACCAAGAAGAAAAATATAACCTCTTTAAACACACCGAAGTGGAAGCAAATTACAATAGAAGAAGTAAAATATCATATTAAACGACTTCGTAATAGCTCCGCTGGTCCAGACAACATTCATATAGGTGTTTAAAAAACTCTTCAGAATTACTTATTCAGCATTTAACTAAGCTGTCCAATCAAATTCTGAAGCAAGGTCATATTCCAACGAAGTGGAAAACAGCTAACATTATACTTATAATGAAACCGAAGAAAGACAAGCAACATCCGTCTAGTTATCGACCGATTAGTCTCCTTAGTTGTTTCGGCAAACTATTGGAGAAAATAATCAAACAACGATTAATGCTTGAACTCGAACGAAGAAACATCTTACCAGAACATCAAGCCGGCTTTAGACCAGGAAAAAGCACAATTTACAACATCCTGCGATTAGAACGATACGCTCAGAATCAACTTCGAAGTGCTCGAAGACACTCAGCGGTAATTCTATTCGATATCAAAGCTGCAATTGATTCAGTATGGCATAACGGTCTTATATATTACAAATTAAACGATCTTAGACTTCCCAAGTACATCATCAACTACTTAACATCATTTCTTAAAGATCGAACCGCATCAATCGAAATCGAAAATGTCCTATCCAAACAATTCAACTTAAAGAGCGGTACTCCACAAGGATCTCCATTATCACCACTATTATATATTATATATACTGCAGATTCGATGAATGAAATACCGACTCATACAGAACATTGATTACTCGCTGACGATACAGCACTCTGGACGTCATCGAACACCATGACATATCTATCATCCAGATTATAACAATCCGTAGATGCATTCGAAAGTTGGTGCAAGTCATGGAAATTGAAATTGCAACCAACTAAAACAGAAATGATCCACTTCACCATTCATCCAAGGAAGAAGTATAAACATCCAGTGGAAGTTAAAGTTAATAATACAATTATTAAACCGCTGGATCATACAAGATACTTGGGTGTCATTATAGACAAACGATTAAATTGGCGACGACATCTCGATCATATCGAAACGAAGATTGCTCCTCGGATCGGTCTACTTCGTTATCTATCGAGAACAGTACACGAACCCAACAGCAGGATGATGATCAATATCTTCAAATCAATAGCACGATCAATCATTATATATGGTTACCCAGTACTATTAACTGCTGATCATAATGTATGGAACCGAATACAGATCATACAAAATAAAGCACTTTGAGCTGCACTAGATCTACCAAAATCTACACATCAGTCGACTACATCCACAAAATTACTAATATTCCAAAATTCAAGGATTATGCAACAACATTACTAAAACAGTCCATCCAAACAGCAACAGCAAATAAAGACACTACATCGAGAAAACATCTTCAAGATATACTTGAAAAAATTTCATGAAAGAAAACACCAACCTACTATACAATATCATCCTCGAGAAACTTGACTATTGTTTGGTCAACAGAGTCCGTATAAAAATTGTTATATCAGACTCGCAAACGTAGAGTTTTTTGATATATAGCGAGAAATGAGTCGACTTATTTGCTGACTCGTATTTTTATTCAGCTATTTTCGTTTTTCTCACTTATTCTTCATATTATGTATGAAGATGAGACAACCTATATGTTGACTAGTTTTTTTCTACTCAGCCATTTTTGTTTTTTCTCACTTATTCTTCATATTATGTATGAAGGTGAGTCAACCTATATGCTTACTCGTTTTTTCTACTAAGCTATTTTCTTTATTTTTGTTTTTTCTCTTATTCTTCATATTATGTATAAAGATGAGTCAACCTATATGCTGACCCTTTTTTTCTACTAAGCTATTTTCGTTATTTTTGTTTTTTTCTCACTTATTCTTCATGTTATGTATGAAGATGAGTCAATCTATTTGCTGACTCGTTTTTCTATATTCAGCTCTTTATGTTTCCTATCGTTTAGTTACATTTGTATTATGAAACAACAATAATACAATGAAGACCAATTAATGTGATACCCACCACTATGAATACCACATTATCATCACATCATACACACCAATATGAAATCACTAAACCAAACTCCGAGATAAAAGACTAATGTCATGTGTCTCTTTTTGTTTCTTTTCTTTTTCAGCTTTTTTTTGACAATACTGTATTTTGTTTTGTTTATGTTTTGCTTTTCTGGTTTGTGCAGCTATTATCATTTTCCCATCAATAAAGGCGATGTTACCAAAAAACAAAAGAAAAAGAAGATATAAGTCGATCTGTCTTGTTTGATTTACTTTTATTTCTTGAGTAATAGAAAATTTTCGAAGAAAAAACTGGTTCGAACTATTGCTTGTTAGCTACAAAAACTGGGATTTTGAAGTTGACATTCTTAAACCACCCATTGACACAAATCTCAACCTTCAAGACATAGTGGACCCTAATAGTATCCGATATATTGGATGACTCTGAATAAGTATAAGATGGGGAGGATGCCAGCACAGCTTGTGGTAGTGCAAACAAATACTTTCCATGAAAGTCCTCCTCTTGCATGTGCGATGTAGCATTAATTGTTACATTAACAAGGTCGTCCCGATTTTTGTTGGTCTTTACTTGACGCTTCAGAGTATATATTACTTTAATTTTTTTGATAGTGTCTTTGCCAGGATTGTTTATTGTGATTTCGAAAGGTAATTCTGGTTTTTCCGATGAAATATAGCTTGGTTCCATTTTGATATTGACAGACAGATTTCCTTTTTTTTCAGAATAGGTATTTGCCTGAGGATCCACCGGTGGTAAAACACTGGAACGAATTGTGATTGGTAATTTTTTAATCTCTTTTGCCTTTTCCCCGTGTGGCATGAATTCCAACAATAAATAGTATCCAGTATGACCACCGAAAGCAAAAATGGATGGAGGCAAAGAGTCAGGGATTGTGAATGTAAAAGAAAATGTGGAGACGGGAGAAAGTGTAGAATCGAAAGCGTTGAAATTTTCGGTGTCCGCCTATACGAGTAAAAAAGTACACAAAATGCCAATCTTCTCTCTGAACGTTGTCTAGAATAGACAACATTTGTGTTTCTTACTTACTAAAGTCGATTCTTCATTTGGTTGTGAAGAGAGCACTATCACATGTTTAAGGAATATGTCAGTATTTGTAATGGTCGTAGAAGTTGAATGAGTAGTTACAGGAGTAGTTGTGTAACTCGTTACCAACTCGCCAATAAATGATAAGCTTAACTCCTCTGATGAAATGGTCTCTTTCGTTTTCAATATCACTTTACCTACAAGTGTTTCATTGTCAAAATAAAATTCTTTTCCATCCGTAGGTGTTAATTGTATTTGGCTGGCAAGAATATTGGTGTTTTTGATACACGAAAGCATCATCCTAGCCTACAAATGAATCGATTATCTAGAAAAAATTACTCTTGATTGTTAATTCAGTTAATCGACAAATACTGTAGCAAAGCCTTAAGCACAGAAAGTGACGTCGACGCTTCGATTCATGTTTATATATATTTATATATAGATATCCTTTCTACTTGTTAAATTCCTAGTCACAGTCATTATCAATCATCATAATCAATGATTCACAATGACACTGTGATTAATATATGAATCATTTTTTTCTTTCCAACCTTTTACTTTAAAGTAAAAGGTTGGAAAGATGTGGGTGTGGGTGTCAAGGCGGGAAAGGCTTATTTCTGTATTTCTACATATCTCTGTATTTCTGAAATATGTGGAAATACGTATTTCTAGGTATGGGGTGTGAGATTCGCTTTATGTGTAATCTCACACTCATACCCCACCCGCACACCCTCACACACACTCGCACACACCCATCCATACCCTTCTTTTTGTAGACAACATGAACTCTTTCGAAAAATGTTCTCTTATATTATAATAAAGTTTTCATAGGTAGCAAAGAAAAAGTGAACGTTAAACGCGCAGCAGCGACGGCTTTCTGACACTATTTTGATTTTGGATAGGTAAAATGCTGCCCATTTTTCTTTATTTCTCCATCAGGACCAGCTGGATGGAAGTGAGGTAGCTGGTCTGGCTCATGGGCAGTATGCTTTATAGGTGCTTTGTGATTATTACTGGCTTTCTTGGCTTGTTCTTTAGCCTCTGCTCGGCTTTTACAGTCAATCATATATGGAATTAAGTTTCCACCTCGATCCTGTTCTCGGCGATAAGACATTTCTTTGTAACAGAGCTAACGTTTGAATCTGAAATAGAACAATAACCAGTAGAGAATTTAATTAGCTTAAGGTATCTTACCTTTTGTAAAGATGAATGTATAATTTGAAATTCGCACTATAACAAAAAAAACAAAAGCATCAGGAGTGCAATGTTAACTGTGTGTTCTGTATCTTAATTTCTGCCTATCAAAGTCTAAAATCGAGTCAGCTTCCTACTCTAACCAGCGTACAATGTGAAAGTGACTGAGCTTTCACATTTGAAGAACGATAATACGTATTTCACCCCGTCTTAAATCGAAAGAAAATTTAATAAAAATTGGGGCCAGAGGAGAAGTTTATATACAGTTTCTTCGAAGTAGGAAAAGGAAAATACCCAGACCAAGAACTATTAGTAATCCTGTGAGGAGGAGGAGAGGAGAGGAGTTAAATTGTGTTAGAATGAGTAACACTTTTGCTTTTTCACAGTTGATAGCGGTACTAATTTTATTGGAAACCCCTAGTGAAAAGTGGCTAATTTGTTTTTCAGTTTCATTTCGTACGCTAGCAGTTTTACTTCTTTCACAAATTGTAAAAGTGACGAATAATCCTCTGTTCGACGGAGAAAAAGCGTTGGTCATTTTCATATTGTTAACTTGCAAGATAAGCCGTATCTTTTTCTAACATTTTGTTATTTCTCTTTTAAGAGAACGGCGGTCTCCTGCTTGTCTGTTGTGTAATCTTTTTTCCGCTGAATAGTCCAATGTTCAAAGCATTTTCGTGTTCGTAACTTCTTCAGAGAAAATAGTGTGTTTGATCAAAAACTCGGTGTGAAAATACAACGCTCGATGCGAAATAAAATTCTGTATTTAACTAAACCTGAATGAGGCCCAACTCAAGTACTAACACGAATCATGACGAAAAATACGCAAGTTTCGTGCAGACCTTACCTACGGGATTCTGAATTCTTCTGTTCCTCGATCGTTTTCATACTGTAAGTCTCTTTATACTACCTATCTGAAACATTTCGCCAAGATTTTTCTCCAAAACGTTATGCTCTATAATTCATGAATACTAATTCTCATTACACTTGATTCATAAGTCGTTATTAGTAATGAATAATATTATTCAGGTAGGGGAAATTGGAAAAAATCCAGATGAATCGATAGGAAGAAGAAAAATAAACATAGCTATACACTAAAAGAAATACCAAATCAGTCACGATTACTAATGATCATTATTTTTGATCGACAGGTCGTTATTAGTAATGAATAATATTATTCAAGTAGAGAAAATTGAAAAAAACCCAGATGAATCCTGTCACTGATGCACTCATACCCACACCTGTCGATAATGGGCTGTGTGGAGGCGGGGGTGCAAAATCTCTACCCTAAGCATTTCAACACTCCTTTCAGGTCGTGCTTCACAAATTGAGCAATACGTATGAATAATCATCATCAAGGGAATTGCTAGATTATGTACTGTATAACAGCAGCAGTTTTGCTTTCAGTCTATATTATTCAAGATTTATTTTATTATTATTATTATTATTATTTTAGATATAAAGAAGCTGCTGCAATGGAAAGTAATCCTCGAACTATCTTCGAATAGTTGAATGTTACTGAAGAATTGGAAACATTCGATGAGAAACTCTTTGACGACATGCATTCTACTTATAATGAGACCATGAAAAACAATCTGCAAGATCCACTGAAGATACTAAGCGACACATTTATACTTGTTGAAGATCCTGAAACTAAAAATTATCTGAAAATATGTATCACTAGTAACAACCCAAGAATTGTACGTCGGGAATTCTCTAGCCAAATAAAAAAAGTGAACGGAAAGAGTCGAAATGCAACTGAAACCGTAGACCTTGAAAAAACAACAACAGAGCCACTTACAACTGAATATGTATCTGAAGGGATTTGCCAAATTTTTATTAAGAGTGTGGGGGTAGGGGTGGGTGTAAGGGTTCTCTTCTGCCATATCCCTACACTCGACCTACACAGCCACACACCCACAACCAGGACAATTGAATTCGTATTGACCATTCATTGTTACACGAGAATGTTATATTTTTAAAATGATTTCCCTCTTTCTAATCTCTCATCTTCTTTTCTTTTCTGTTTTTTCTCCTATTCGATACGTTTCATGAGTTCATATATAATCAGCGCATTAATAATTTAGAAATGACAGCGAGAAACAAATAAAGGTCAACCATCCTTCTTACTTTCTGTTCAAAAATATTCTTCCTTCAACGTTATTCATTCTTCATCATCGTTATTCATTGAATTGAGTAGCGATGAGCCAACCATAACACACGATTTAAACATATAACCCTATATACGATACTCATTCGCTTCTTCATTCACACTAATCATCCTTTTGTTCCATACCATTTCAACTTCTATTACGACCTAGGATATTTGTATAATAAAACGACTCAATACATAGTCAACGTTCCTTTAATTTATATCTAATCACGATGAATAAAATATGTGATGAAGATTAATGACACCTGAACTTAGGGCGTGTTATTAGATTCATTAAATGAGCAAGTTCTAGGAAATACAATTGATGAATGCTGCCACAAAGTGACCTATATGAAAAATAATCAATAAACACTCGATCTTAATTGTCGTGTCACCAAATAAAGCGCATTTCCTTAAAGAATCTGTAAATAATCATATATGAAAAAAAACGTTTTTTGGCGATATGCGTAAATTTTTTTATGGGGCCGGCCGGGGGGGGGGGGGGGGGGGGGGGGGCGGTGGGGGGGGTTGGGGGGGGGGGGGGGGGGGGGGGGGGGGGGGGTGGGGGGGGG